TCAAAGCAGGCAGACAAGAAACACATTCCTTCATGGGAAACTCTGGATTTTTCCTTCACTCTTGAAGGATAAGTTCTCTGGATATAGACCTCTAGGTTTTGTTTTTCTTAGAATACTCAGAATATTACATTCCTGTTTCCATGGCTTCTAACGAGAATTCTTTCACTTTCTGGATTATTTCATTATTTTCTGCAGTTTGAGTATGATAAAACTCTGGATTGCTTTGAAAAAGTCATTTCCTTTTCTGTGTGCTTGTGTATGTGTGGGGTGCATTTTTACTATAGTGGGAGGGGAGGATTTGTAGAAGTCAGTTCTCTCCTACCATGAGGGTCCCAGGGATGGTGTGGATGATCAGACTTGGCAGTAAATGCCCTTACCTTCTGAGTCACCTCACCAACCATTTTCCTGCTTGGTATTTGTTAGCTCTAATTTTGTTCCCTAGTGATATACACTACATTTTAGGTGCTTAGTAGCCTCATGTAGCTAGTATGTAGCAGACTGAGAAACCAGGTCTTGACAAGATGGGAGTCCAATACAGGTCTCCTGAGGAAAGCATCTTCCAGGACTCTCCTGCCACTAGTGCTCTTCACCATGCCACTGCCTCCTGTAGAATGCTCCCTTCTCTGTTTGCCTCAAACCCATTGTTCTCTGGCTTAGCTTAGGTTCTCTCACAGAATCCTTTGGAGGGAAAGGAGACTGGCTCACTTCCCTCCCTTTAATTGCACTGTATGGGCCTCCTAGTCCCCCACAAAGATCCTGCACCTTGCCAGTGCTCCATGCTTTACAGACCCGATGCCTGGTAACATAGAGCAATGTTACTGAGTTACTGAAACTGAGCAGTGTTAGCTTCATTCTGTCAAGTAAGAAAATTAGAAACAAAGACAACTCTGTATTGTTTCTTTAATAGAGAGGGGCAACTAAAATACTTTGCTTTTTCCTTCTCTCATCTGGCCTAGAATAGAAAAAAAAAATCTGTCTTTGGCTTTTAGCAAAATGTAGCCACCCAGGAACCAGGAACATATGTCTACACCTAGTACCTATGGCTTTGTTTTTCCCCAGACAGGGGGTCTCATTGTATAACTCCAGCTGACTGGAACTCCCTATGTAGAGCAGACCTCACATTTACAGTGATCCAATCCAGTGCTAAGATTAAAGGCATCTGCTTTCTTCTTATTACTGTTTATCCCTCCTGTTTGTCCCTTACTTGTCGCATGGCATTCAGCAAGTTATTCAGGCTTCCTGCTTTACATCTTCCACCTAGCAATGTTGCTGTAATACAAGGTGAATTAACACACATGCCCAAGGACTTTGGACATTCTTCTTCTTCTGATTTTTTTAGTATAGAATAGTGTTTATTTAGGGCATGGGGAAGGGAGTTGAGAGAATAGCAGAGGCAGAGAAAGGGAGGGAGGGAGGGAGGGAGGCAGGAAGGGAGAGGGGCAGAGGGAGGGAGGAGAGGAGGAGAGGGAGAGTAGAGGCTGGCCATGTGCACATGGAGAGAGGGGGGGAAGGGAATGGAGAGAGGGGAGAAGGGGCTCAAGGACAGGGCGGGAGCAAGAAGGCAAGGGCAAGAGCAAGAGTGGACATTCTCATTATTATTGTACAAGGTTAGAATATTGTAGAGCACACTGGCTCAGATTGAGGCAAAGTGAGAGGAGAGTACAGTAGTTTCCTTTTATTTCTTTTTATATTATTTCAAGATCCCCAGTGCATATCCGGAACTGTAGATAGATATTACTGAAACATATATATATTGTTTTTCTCCCAAACTATACATATCTATGACCAAGTTTAATGTATAAATTAGGCACAGTAAAAGATTAACAATAGTAAGGCCATTATGACAATGTACCATAATAACAAACGAATGTGAATCCAGTCTATGAAAAACTAAGTATTGTTTTGAGTCAGGGTGGCTCTGTAGCTCAGGCTGGCACTCAATTTGTGATCCTCCTGCTTCAGTTCTCTGAAGATTTCTTATTGCACTGTATCTTAGCAACCTCAGCAATTTTTTTTTCTTATTAAGAGTTTTTTCACCTTTAAACTTAAAAGAAGCAATTTCTGGCTGATTTTTGGTATGCTCCAAATCACTAGTTACACTTTGATGTCAGTTGGTAAGGGCTACTTGAACACAGAGATTCCAATACCCTGACAGTCAGTAATGGAGAGTAACTGATGGAAGGTGACATATATATCATGGAACTGTGGGACATATGGTTTATGTGCCAGGCAGGCAGGGACAACGAGCAATTCTGTCACCTGACACAGAATGATGTCCAGCTTAAAACTTCTGAGTTGTTCATTTTAGAATATTATACACTTTAATTTTAGTCAGTGGTTAACAATGGAAAACAGAAAACAAAACAAACCAGTACTGGTCGTGCACACATGGTAGTGGTGGTGATGCATTCTTTTGATCGCAACACTTAAGATGCTGAGGCAGGCAGATCTGAGTTTGAGGCATGTCTGGCCTACATAGTGAGTTCCAGGATAGCCAGGACTGCATAGTAAGACTACATCACCAAGGGAAAAAAGGTGAAATGAAGGAGTGAAGACACGGCTCCACAGTTAAAAGCACTTGTTGTAATGGCAGGGAACTTGGGATCTATCTCCCAGCTTCCACAAGGCAGAGCCCAACTGTCTGTAATTCCAGTTCCAAGGGGTCCCATGCCCTCTTGTGGATTCTTTTTGCACCAGGCACGAATTGGTGTGAACACACAAGCAAAAACAGTCATTCCCCAAAATAAAAATAAACAATCTTTTTTAAAAAGTGAAATCATTTCTGCAGTGTGGGATGGGGAGTTCAAGAAAAGGTCAAAAGACTGTCTTTGTACCTTCTCTATAGAACATGGCATCTGCCCTTTGCTGGTCAGTCTATTGATCCTTGCTATAAAAAATGAAACAGGCCGGGCGGTGGTGGCGCACGCCTTTAATCCCAGCACTTGGGAGGCAGATGCAGGTGGATTTCTGAGTTCAAGGCCAGCCTGTCTACAGAGTGAGTTCCAGGACAGCCAGGGCTACAGAGAGAAACCCTGTCTCGAAAAACCAAAAAAAAGAAAAAAAAGAAAGAAAGAAACACATGACGTGTTCCATAAAAATATGGGCACTGAGCTGTAACAAGTTATCTCTGATTTTACTGTTCTGTATTGCAAGGTTACCTGTTAGGTTCTTAAACAACTGTATGAGTAATGTTGGTTACTAGACCATGAATTATTATTAAACTTAACTAGATACATCTTTAGCACAGAAAACCTTAGGGTCAAAACCATTGAATTTCCTTTAAAAGTTTATATATTTATCCAGGTACAGTGGTGCACACCTGGGATTCCAGCACAGTGGAGCCTGAGGCAGGAGGGTCCAGAGTTCTAGGCCATCCTGGGCTTCATTAATAGTTGAAAAATAAGTTTGTTCACTGCCAGGAGAGACGGCTCAGTCGTTAAGAGCACTCGATGATCTTTCAGAAGACATTGGTTCTCAGCACCATATTTGATCTTATTGGTGGCTCAGAACTGTCTGCCAGTTGGGGTTTCAGGGTCTACAATGCCTTCTGGATTCCTCCAGCATTGGATGAAGGTGGTACACATATCTACTTGTAGGCTAAACACCCACAAACATAATTTTAAAAAAACGTTTGTTTTAGCTGGGTGGTGTTGGCACGCGCCTTTAATCCCAGCACTTGGGAGGCAGAGGCAGGTGGATTTCTGAGTTCGAGGCCAGCCTGGTCTACAGAGTGAGTTCCAGGACAGCCAGGGATACACAGAGAAACCCTGTCTCGAAAAACAAAAACAAAAAAAGTTTGTTTTCTGATTGCACTTTCTAGACACTACAAAAAAGAATTAACCTTATTGTTAACTATGGGAATTATACCAGACAGATTTAAACGTCTGTGTACCCAGAGGGAAAAGCTAAGGAATATTATTACCTTGGTAGAAGAACACATTCATTTTTACACTTTGACTCACAACCTTATTCCCTAAAACATGCTCTTTAAAAATGCGTGCAAATTGGAGACCCATGGAGTGGATTCAGCTTATTTAAACGTTCAGCCTGAAGAGTTCAAAATTCTTTTTGAGTGATATTTTAAGATCGCTTTAAAAGATAAAAGTGTCACTTCGTCATTGGGCATTTCGCTGTCGCAAAGTTGTTTCGATTTCAAAACCCTCACCATCAGGCCAGCTCCAGCTCATCATTCCTTACAGGTGGTCAAGCGCAGTCGTAGAGGTTACCTTTCAACCACAGAGCGCAGAAAACGACTAGGTGAATAACAACCTGGAGCCTCAGTTTCCCAATCCGTAAACAGGGCTGATAACTCGCGTCAGTGATAAGGATTGTTGTTGATTGAGCTGGGAACTTAACCCAGGGCTCAGAGACGCACTCCAGCAACCTGGGTTGACGGCCAAAGGTTGGCCCTGGGGATCGGGCGGAGAGCCGCGAACCCGGCAACCCCCGCGCTCTGGGCCCTCCCGCCCCGGTTCCCCGCGCTGAGAGGCGTGGCCGATCCTCAAACTCACAGCGGCGGCCATGGCCTCGGTGGTGGAATATAAGGGCCTGAAGGCCGGCTACTACTGCGGCTACTGCGAGTCCAGGGAGGGCAAGGCGTCGTGTGGTGAGTGTCCCGCCGCCCAGGTCGCCGTAACCGGCACCAGCCAGGCTCTCGCTACGTCCTGGCAGGTCTCTATCGCGGGTTAAGGCCGTTGGTCACCCGACTCCAGCTTCCAGGTCCCATTGGTCTCTCCTCAGCCTGCTTCCTTTCCATCCTGGTCTTCCCGCCCTCACCCCCACAGAGGGTAGCCGCCCCTCACTGAAGTGGAACGGAAATAGCGGACAGCTGCCCTCAGTCTACATGGCGCGGGCGGCGTCAGTCACGTAAGGTGCCAGGTCCTTTCCGCCCGCGAGCGCCGCGAGTGGCTTCGCGCGATCTTCGGAGGCGCGCGCGTTGCATTGTGGGGTGGTGGAGGCGAAGGCGGAGGCAGCGGCTGCTGCGTAGGACCGGGTGGCGCAGCGGCGGCGGGGCCGAAGAGATGGCGTCCTGGAGCGCGCCTTCGCCCAGCCTTGTAGAGTATTTTGAGGACCAGACCTCCTTCCAGTGTGGTTATTGCAAGAACAACTTTGGCAGTCGCTCCCATGGTGAGCGAGCCGGGCCGGCGGGCGTCTGCTTCGGGGTCGGTGAGGGACTTGGGTGGCCGCAGCTTGGGGGCCGTCGAGATGAACCGGGTGTCCTTCACCCTTGCTTCCTCAGCAAACGGATGCTGGTCTGGGAGGCGGGAAGGGAGATTGGGAGGCTCCTTGGAGCTGACGGCTGCCCTGCAGGCATCCCCGCGGCAGCCGAGGCCCCCTGCTGCCTGTGTAGAGGGGCGTGTGCGTGCACACCTGTTCACTGTCATTTTGGATAAAGTGTCTGGGAGAACGTACTGGAAACCGAGATCTGCTTAATATTTTGATAAAAATACCTGCTCGATTTATTTTAAATCAGGGATTTATACTATGTCATTGTGTCAACCCACCTCGAAGACCACAACAACGGTGTTCTGTCAGGATTTAGGGTTTTTTTTTTTTTTTTAATTTTGTTCTGGCTTTTCGAGACAAGCTTTCTCTGTGTATCTCTGGCTGCCCTGGAACTCACTCTGTAGACCAGGCTGGCCTGGAATTCAGAGATCAGCCTGCTCCTGCCTCCCGAGGGCTGAGATTAAAGGTGTGTGCCACCACTCAGGTGTCTTAAGGGAGATTTGTTTGTAAACCAAATATGTACTTATTGTCTGCCGTGTCATGATTAGCAAATACAGAATCTAGGATGGACGATTTAGAATAATCCTGCAGGTGGAAAACAAGATAACTGTGAAAGTATACATTTAGGTTAGACATTTGTCCATTTTGAAAGACGGTTAAGTGAGGAATGATTTGGCTGAGCGCGGTATGCTGGTTTATGGATGTATTAATAGTGTTTATTAGGAGAAAGTGTGTTATTAGGTGAACTGTGGTCTTGGGTAGACAGTTACACAATCATGACATACCGATTATGAAGACCAGTTAAGTGGAAAAATGCTTGGAGTATAGGGTTAAATAAAATAAACAGGATGCAGATGACAGCTGAGTACACGTGACAGCTGAGAGGAATAAGGCCCAATAAGGCTCAAATAAGGCCAAGAAAGCACACCGACTAATGACAGTGGCTGCCTTTGAGTGATAGAGATACAATTCTTTTTCAAAATTTTTATATTCTGACTATAATATTTGTCAATGTTATAAATGTGTCTGAAACTAATACTTTAGTAGGGAGGACCTTATCACCCCTCCCCCCAGTAGTTGTATTAGAGAAAATTGGCCAATATAAATGTTTTGTGTTTCAAGATTTGTTGAAGAATAGTTTTATCGTCTAGAAAAATAACTATAAATTCCCAACATTTCAGTTTTAATGTTTACTGTAAGGCACCTTTCTGTTGGGTGTTCTGTTACTCCTATTGTAGGAACTCCTCCTGTATCTGACTGGCCTCAAAACTACAGAGGATTCATTTGAGGCTCAGAATAAGTTGTTGGTGTCAGTGAGTGACTGCCTTTTGAAGTTATTAGTTTGCTTTGTATTGCTGTGATAAACACCATGATCAAGTGCACTTTGGGGAGGAAAGGACTTACTTAATCTTAGAGCTTACATTCCATTAAGAAGAGAAGGTAATGGCCTTTACGTGTGAATCTCCATCATTTTGTCTCCTACCTCCCGTAGCGTCATAGTTATTCCACTGTATTGATAACCTCAGAGGCTCTATCGTCATCTTGTTCCCTCAGGAGTATTTCTATATATGTGTGTCCTATTTTTAAGAGTCAAGCCTGAGCTAAACATATTATGCATATCAAGTATTAGAACTAACCTAACATACCTTTGTGCTGGTTAGTTTTTTGTCAGCTTGACACAAGCTAGAGTCATCTGGGAAGAGGAAACCTCAACTGAGAAAATGCCTCCCTCCCATTGGCCTGTAGTTAATTAAGTGTTTTGTGGCAGTTTTTTGATTAGTGATTAATATAGGAGGGTCCAGCTCACTGTGACTGGCACTACTTCTGTGCATGGACTACTGGGATGTACAAGAAACTAGTTTAAGCAAGCCACGGAGAACAAGTCAGTAAGCAGTGTTCTTCCATGACCTCTGCTTCAGTTCCTGCCTCTAGATTCCTGCCTTGAGGTACTTGCCTCCAGGGCCCTGCCTCCAGTTTCTTGTCTGACTTCCCTCCATGATGGATGTGAGCTGTAAGATGAATAAACCCTCTCATCCCTAAACTGTATTTGATCATAGTGCTTATCACATAGCAACGGGAGGTAAACTAATGACAACTCTCAAATAGGTGAGGCCAGTGTGTTAACTCACTGGAGAGACTGTGAAAGTTTGTGTGATGCAGTCTTCAGTTCCAGTGATGATTTAGATTGATGTCATAGAGATTTTATTAATTTTTAATTAAATGGAGTTGGAGTCACTTTTGATATATTTGATTCTTTAGATTAGATTTCTTTTTTTGTTCCTGTTTTGAGACAGGGTCTCTCTTATATAGCCCTGGCCAGCCTGGACTCCTAGACTTGCTTTGAAGCCAAAGACTGGCTTTGAACTCAGAGATGTTCCTACCTCTGCCTCTTGGCTGCTGGAATCAAAGGCATGTGCTGCTACACCTGACTTAATTCACCCCCCCCCCACACACACACACGGGATCTTATGTTACTCAGGTTGGTTTCAAATTTATTATATAGCTGAGGCTGGTCTTAAACTCTTGTTCCATCTGACTCTACCTGCATTTACCTTCTAAATTCTGGGATTACAGGTTTGTGACACCACTCCTATCTTAGAATCAATATATCTTACTTTTGTTTATGTTGTATGTATTATGTTAAGTGTAAAGTACATGCAAACTTATTACTCCAATATGAATGTTCTAGAATTTTAGTCTAAATTTGCCATTTTTATTTTAAATTTATTTTTTTACATAGGGTCTAACTAGATAGCCCTGTCTGGCCTGAGATGCCCAGAGATCCATCTATCTCTGCCTTTGCAGTTTTACCTCACCTAGTCTAACTTACCTGTTTTTTCTTGTAAAGAACACTTAAGAGTTTTGACAAGAAGACAATGCAGTATGTTGGAACTAACATGGTACTTACTTTTTCAGGCATGTGGGCACATTCCATGACAGTGCAGGATTATCAGGATCTTATAGACAGAGGATGGAGAAGGTAAAGTTCTTTAACACAGATGCTTTCTGTTATTGCTTAGTTTCTTTTTATAACTGCACAGTGAGAATTGCCTTTGGAATACTCTTTTACTGTATAAGGAAGTTTAAGAAACTGTTTATTATGTTCTTTTGTTCTCAGAAATATATTAGCAAAGTTAAAAATTATGCATAAAGTAAAATACATTATAACATACCTTGTGTGCTTATTACTAACCTTTGACAGTTACTGGAATTATTCCCTCCTCTCCAAAGCTTTTGACAGCAGATTACATGTTAATGATTATTGCAGAAAGCATATTGCAACATATATATCTGAGAAGACATATTTTTCCTTTAACTTATCTACCATGCCTTTATCATCTTATAAAATTAATACCAATTTTTGCTGAATGTGGTGTCCCATGCCAGTAATCCCAGCACTGGGAAGCAGAGGTAGGTGGATCTCCGTGAGTTTGAGACTAGCCTGGTCTACATAGTGAGCTTCAAGCCAGCCAAGGTTACATGATGAGGCCCTGTCTCAAAAACAAAAAACAAAAATTAATGTAATTTTTTGATGGTACTTAGCATTTATTTAAAAATTGTTTTCAAAATATTTTTATTATGTGTGCATATATACATATACATGTATATGAGAGAGAGAGAGTGTATGTATGAGGATGAGAGAGAGAGAGTGAGAGAGCACTCTTGTGCATGCTTGGCAGTAAGCACCCTTCCTGATGACCTGTTTTGCTGGCTTCCTACTGAGTTTTGTTTTCTAGACTCACTTCTTTTTGTTTTTATACTTGTTTGGGTGTACATGTGTATAGAGGCTTACTTCAGAAGTTTCCCTTACTATACTCAGACTTAGTGCCATTTTGGCTAGTTGGGCTAGCCAGCTTGTTCCAGAGAGTTTCTGTCTCTGCTTCCTGTAATCCAGCATTACAGACCTGGCTTTGGGGACTTGAACTCTAGTCCTCATGCTTACATAGCAGTGGCTTTTGTTACTACTGAGCCATCTTCCCAGTTCCTAGATTGCCTTTAAAAAAAAAATCATTAAGAAATGTTTACTTATTTGTGTTTGGGTATGAGCTTGTGTGTGCTGCAGTATATATGTAGCTCAGAGGGCAATCTGTGGGAGGGTTCTTTCCTTCTGCCATGTGGGTTCTGGGGATGAGATCAGACCATCAATCTGGGCAGCAAATGCCTTTGTCCACAGAGCTATCTCACTGACTCAAGATTGCCTTATGAACCTTCAGACACACACCAGTTAGTCAGTTGATTTTGTAGTTGTTCATACTACTGTGTTTTCTTGGTAATTTTTTTTCTTTTTATGTATCTCTGACTTGTCTGGTAATCGATGTAGGCATTTGTCTACCTCCTGCGCACTGTGGTTAAAAGTATACACCACCAAGCATGGCTGGATAGTTATTTTGAAGTAACTTGGGAAATTTTCTTATATAAATGTAAATAACATAAGCATTAAGTACTGAATGCTAGTGTTTTTTAAAGCTAGGATTGAGCAAACCAGTTAAAATGTTAATACTCATTAAATTTAATGTGAGTCTCAATGTAGATGAGGGTTAGGTGTTGTAGGATTTTGGATGACAGAAGGATCACGTTTAGGGTGACATTCAGAGAGTTTCTATGAGAGTGATGTGATGTAACTTGTTTCAAGAGGTTCATTTGTATGTCAGAGAGGTATTTGAGAGGCAGGAAGACAGCGTTCCAGAGAAGAAACAAGGACTTCTATCTTATCTTAGTGTCGATGAGGAGAGGATAAATTTAGATATGTTTTACACATAGATGTTTTCTGATAGGATATAGAGGTGAGTTAGAGAAATAGTCTAAAATGACTCTGGCTTAAGAAATGGACGAATGGTTCTATCCCTGACTTGTCTGCAGTGTCTATAACTGAGGCTGGTTGTGTGGTACTGAGGTACATGGGCGATTGTGTGTATGTGCCATCCTAAGCAGGCTCCATCAGTCCTACAGCCTCATGGACATTTTTTTTTATTATTTTTAAAAGATTTTTATAATTTTTAAAATTATCGGTGTGTGTCTGTATGGTATCATGTACATGTGAATGCAGGTGTGTAT